ACTGACAGGAAGCATAATAATCAACAATACAATGTATTTATATTTTATTTACCCTGTATTCATCCAATATAAGATACCAAAATCTAGTATCACTTTAATTTTTTTAAAGCAAAAAGAAAAAAAAATGAACAATTTGTTATAATGTTAAGATTTTTACAGCAGAAATGGCATTTTAGTTTCAACAGGTTACTGCAATTCGATTACCCAAACCATGGCCAGTGGCATCATGGGTAAGGCTACTCTAGCCTGCACGATAACCTTAGCGAGAACTGGCAACTCTTTCCAACTTTGCTTTCTGAATGTTTTACCTTGAAAAATTGTGCTACATTTGAAAAATTATAAATTTGTTTTAAAATTTTGCATGGAATTTTTTGGTATTTTAAATTTATTTGACTTACTGGTACCAGTTAGTGAAAATTGAGACCAATAACATTTTTCTTAATATTTGTAGAGTTATGAATATACAGTTTCTTTTTTTTTTCATCTCTATACTAATAAAGATAACATTTTCATTGATACGTCGATGTCAGTAATAACTGTTCAAACATTTGGTTGTCAATGTTTTAGATGTCCTTCTTTTGAATGTATTTTTTATATTGGGTTTTCAGTGATTTGCTTAACTATTGCCTTTTTATCAAGTCTGAACTCTTTTTTTTCTTTGACACCATACTCTATCTGGCATTATATTCACTTTTCACCTGCTACTTATTATGCTAGATTGTGTCGTTTTGTGCATTTGTGTTTTGTGTGTTTGTTTCCAACCTTTATGACATTTTTGTTTAATTTTAAAAAAATTATTTCCATTGGTAATTTATGTGCAGGGATTCTAATTTGTTATCTTCTTAATATTGCCAAGTACCTTCAATTTTGAAAAAGAAATTTAGATTATATACAGATTTTATTATTTCTTTTTTTTATTAGAGTGCACTAATATGTAGAAGTTTCTTCAAAAATAGTTATCAGTGAATAAAATCTGCCACGTAGCTTCTTAATAGATGGGATGATGATTAGATTATTGATATATATTATATATACTGGTAGATGTAGGTAGTAATTAGGTCACCTGCATGAGATTGAGCACCACAGTAACAGATTTCCTAGAGCATTATGTTTGATGAATGATGCATGACTTGTAAATATTTCCCCACAGATACCCCAGTCAATATTACAGTCAGTACGGACAACCTTACGAGGACAGCGAAAGGTTCACAAGTCAGAGAGGCTCGCGAGTCCAGACCCCGGGCTCGCTCTCTGACACGGGAGAGCACCAGTGAGTAAATTAATGGGGATCGTAGATAAGGGATTAGCCAAACTCAGTATCAGCTTTTAGGGTGGTAAGCTCAGTGAGATTAAGATGACCCAGTTTGAAGGATGTTTTCAAAAATCTTGGATGTTGCAAAGAAATCTTTTTTGTTGACTATGGTTCACTTTATCCTTAATAACTGGGAAGTGAACCTCCTTATGCAAGTCCTCATTAAAGCTGACATGAATTCTTAAAAACGCAACATTTTCATCTATGTACGACTTGTTTCATACCAACTAAAGCCGTATTCCGCCATATTTCTTTCAGATACATTGTCTCATTGTAACGATATATACCCCAAAGCGCTCGTTACAGTTGAATGATTTTCTGGTTTGGGTATCGACTTGTGCACATCTCCGATGGTAAAGCATATGAGAACACATGTGGAGATCAAGACATTTCAAAACCACAATAAACAACACAATAATCATATTTCTGAATAATTATTGATTTGAATCAAAAGAAAAAAAAAATGCAAGTTTGGTGAGAAATTTAGATGCACGTCACGCGTACGTATTTTTATAGTGCGCCAATTTATGCAGAATAAACTTGAAATAAAGAGCAGTAAAATCTGCAAACACATTTTGAAATTATATCATTTGAATGGAACAAAACAACCAACGTCTTTGATTTGCAGCCCCTATGCAATTTGTGCATATCGAGAAAACGCCTCGAACGCTGTAAACGTACCCATACCTGGTAATAAGGTTGCATCGGTTCGAAGATGTGCACAAGTCAAGTGATATACACCCTGAATTCCATTTATTGAAATATGCATCACAAAAAAGAAATAAACTCCGTAAAAGCTCAAAAGTAAACACACTGTCATTACTCCGTACAGACTAGCAGGCCGATACACTTAGTCCGTGCTGATCAGATTTTGGTCAGGGAAAATATCACAAGTGGAAAGAGAAGTTATATGGTATTTGCGCGACTGAAACGGGGGGGGGGGTATTATAACTGCTGTTCATAAGCTATAATTGTGAATTGTCTATCTTCTTGTAGTTCTAATATACATTCTATACAAAGTCATGTATTTAGTCTGCAGTTGGTTTGCGTTGCAAAATTCATTTGTCAATTATAACTGATTATTTAGTACTAATCTCAAGTCTAAACCAAGTAATTTGATGTACGGTAATTATTTACTTCAAATCTTAAAAGCAATTAACCAGAATACATTTTTTTTATGTGTACATGTCATGTACATAGATCTATACTTTTTTAACACACAAACACACGAAGAAATGCCATCCCCTGTTCAGATTGACATCTAGGTACATGTATTTGATTTTTAGGCAGGGGGGGGGGGGCGTGCAAAAATAATTGACATGACCGTCATCTAAATATTGTTGGAAGACAGACATCTCTGCCGAATTCAGTTTTGATTTTTTTTTAAATGTGTCACTCCGCCCACAAAGTATGTGCATTTTGAGGAATGTATAAATGTTTTATAATTATGTTGTTATAGAGAGTCTACCGAGATTTCAGTATCCCTGCCTGATAGTCTCGCCATTTTTTTCATATAAAAATAATTTCTGTAGGAGTATTTGGGAGATAATTTTAAAAGCTAGGGTAGGGATTCTTGACACTGGTTGAATACGGATAATTTTTATTTACTCTTTTGTATATTGAACTAACTCTCTCTCTCTCTCTCCCTCTCACTCTGTAACCGTCCCTTACGGCAAGAATAGGTATAAGATCCTACGCACTTTCTGCTGTACCATTTATTAAGCCATAGGACAGATCAAGGAATTTTTTTCAGGCGGGATGTCGAAACTTCATAAATTGAATAATAATTTAAATTTGGACAAGAAGTTAACCCAAACGGCCAAACTGAAAGAGAAACTAGAGGTATTGTGAGCAATGAGCTCACTAAATGATACCCCCGCCTCCCATATGGTTATAATGGCAAAGTCCATATTTTGCTGTTGTCGCTAAACCCAAAATACGTGTCGGATCAAAAAGTAAAATAGGAGGTGCACAATGGTAATATGTAATAAACCTAAGATTCTGTGAAAGTTTTAGTAAATTTCACTAAGTGGTAGAAGAGGATTTGCGGATAAGAGATGGGTATACCCAAAGCGTAACAGACCGACGGACGGACAAAACTATTACTATATACCCTCCCACTTTTCAAGCGGTGGATATAATAAACGTGAAATATACATCACAGGAATGGGTACATTGGGAACTTTCTCAAATACCTTCTCAAACGCATTGGCGTCGGAAGCAAATTGAAAGTGGGGGTTTTATACATTCAAAAAAATTGAGAAGCTTAAAGAAAAAGGTGGAATGTCCTTTTCCAAAAACACGAATATTATATTTCGTGTGGGGGAAAGGGGGGGGGGGGGAGGTAGGTTCGAACTTCAGTAACAAAATTTTTCTCCAAACACCAACACTTTCCTCATTTTTAACCTATACTGCGACTTGTCTGTGCAAAGTGGGGGGGGGGGGGAGGCTAAACCTACGCAGCAATGTTCAATGTCTATACTAAGTATATATTTAAAAAAAAAAAAAAAACATCCCCCGGTATATATGCTATAACGTACGTAACATGAACCTGGACAACAGACAAGAGAATTTTTAAAAAGCTAATTGTAGGTAAAATGTGGAATTCTCACGGGGGGGGGGGGGGGGGTTGCTCTCTCTTTCTATCTGCTTTTTCTAGTAATCATTAATTATTTATGTCTAGAAATTTAATTCACATTAAATTCTGGTCAGCGCAACTTCTTATAAACCATTGAACAGAGTTTTGTCGAACTTTCGAAATATTTATAGGAGTCAATGTGTGTCTAGATTTGCACATCACCAGGAAATTCCGAATTCTTTACTTTTTCAATTTCCGCACCTTTACATTTAGATTTTGGCCATATCTTGAATATAAAAATGAGCAGTTTGTCAGCGCAACTTCTCATAAACCGCTGCACACAATTTCGTCAAACTTTGCAGATATTTAGGACACAATGTGCATATAACAAGAAAATTACGATTCCTTTATTTTTTTCTGGGAATTTCAGCACTTCGAGTTTTTGGGGAGCGTGGGGTATGTTTTCATTCATTGTGCATAAAATTATAAATAACTTTAAATCAAATTATATTAGGTCTAATAAAGCCAATATAGAGTATTTATTTGATAATAATTAATCATAAAGAAATCAATCTGTTTCAGACGTTTTCTTAAATTATTTTTATGAGAGTGTTAATATGCATGTTTTATTACACCACCCCCCTCCTATCACAGGAAAATATCTTCAAAAGGTGAATGATTCGTAATAATGCATGCATTTTTATAAATTTAATGAAGTTAAACCATGTAATCATAAATTCTATTTGCAACATTTACAGACAAGAGTAATGTTTAGTTTTGAAAAAATCACTTGCATTTTTTTTTCAATCAATCCGACTGAGCTTTCAACCTTTGATATTTTCCCTGAGCAAATAAAATGATCAGCATGGGCCACGTGTGTCCAAGCATCTTTTACTATTGTGTTAGCAATGGATTACATGACTTCTGAGATGCATTTTTCAATAAAAGTAAAATAGGATAATTCTTGCGACATGTGCACATTCCAGTAACGATAGCAGTATATTCAGGTAAATGCTTTATCACTGCGTTTGACGCGTTTTCTCGACCTGCATGGATTTTTGCTGTACATGAATGTATTTCGTGTTAGTGTATTTTCTATATTGCAGCAATTGCATTCAAAAATAATTTAATTCTCGGTATAGTTCTATTGTTTGGTTGAATTCTTACTTTTCAAACATGTATTTGGTCAGTTTATTCAGTTTATGGACTTCTTAAAACTATGCTATCGGAGATGTGTACATGTCGACAGCCAGGCTAGAAAATCACTCAAGTGAAACAATTCTACAAAGCTATATATAGGCAGGTACAGGTGGCCAAAAATCTTCGATAAATATGGCGGAATTGAAGAAATATGGCGGACAAGGGCGTACAGGAATGTAGTAAGTCGTACAAAGATGAAAACTGATGCCTTTTTAAGAGTTCATGTCAGCTTTAATATTGGTAAGTTGACCCTCCCCCCAACCCACTCCACCCAAATGCTCACACATACATAGTTGATGACCACTGTAGCATTTAACCTATTGATGCACAGGCACCTGACGTTACTTATTTTTCTTTTAATAAAAAAATATACACATACCTAATAATCTTGTTTATTATTAGGTATGTGTATATTTTTTTATTAAAAGAAAAATAAGTAACGTCAGGTGCCTGTGTATTGATGTTTACAAGTGATGCATTGACTTGTTTTGCTTTAAAAGAGTCTTTAATTGTACTAAGCTACAGTTATATACACATGTATTTATATCAAAAGTATAGCTTTCACATGCAAACACAAACTAAAAAAAACCCCCAAAAGCCAAAGTTGATTTTTTTTTTTTACAAATATGCACCCCATACATGCTACAGGATACTTTTCTGCACAGTGCATTGGTTGGAATTATAAGCTATGATCTGCTTTACAAAGAGGTCGTGCTATTAGGCAGCATTACTTGTACAATGTATGTTGAGCATTACAGGCACTTGAATCTGAATTTGAATTTGAAAATTTCTTAATTTATCTAAGAAATGAATAACAGGTAGAATTTTTAAAAAAGAAGAATGGAATTGTTTATGTTTGTGTCTTGTTGAGATCTGTGTTTTTGTTTTGTCTGATGAACACTCTGCCAATTTTTCTGCCTGGGCTTTTTCCTAATTTGGTACTTTGGGTCGGGTTCTTCATTTTTTGAGCAATGAATTTTGCAGTTTTAAACATATAATCTACAACTTGTGGTAAATGAATGATATTATTATATCATCACTTCATATGAATATAATTAAAAATGTAACTTTAATTTGTTTGTATACTTGCATAACAAATTATACTGTGTATTCTAATCATACCATCTTATACTACAATGATTTGTATTTATTAATTTTAGCGCTCACAAAAAGTTACTTATTTAACAGTATTTCACATTACGATATATCTTAGCAGTAAACATATACATGTAGCACAATATGCATCTGTATTAGAATAATTACAATATTTTAATCGAAGACATTAACACACTTTAACAGGTCTTTCCTTATAAGCTTTATGTTTCAGTCCATAATACTTCTTCTAAGTAATGACATGATATAATGGTTTACAGAGATTACGATGGGTACCGCCAATATCATGGATCCCGTTCCTCCAGTCGTCAAGGTTACGATGACTACACACGTGCCCAGTGGGATGCATATTATGCCAACTACAACAGGGGTTATGGTTACGGATATGATTATGATCAGGGCTATGTTCAAGGTACAAGTCCTAATCTAAAATAATTATATTCAGAGAAAAAAATTAGCAGTTTTCATCCCAGACAAGATAGAATATTTTGTGATATTAAGGTATAATGCAGTCATGTAAATTGTTAATCCTTTGAATTTCTAGTGAGATACAGCAGCAAACTAGTTTATGGTACTAATGATGTTCATACATCTATATATGTATATACATTTGTACATGAAGGTGGAGTTATAGGTAGATTTATTCTTTACAGAAACAGCTCCTAGTAGGATGACCCCAGTCAAACATTCCATTCCTCATACCTGCATCAGATTTGGCCCTGGAGGTCATCTTGTCAAGGTCATGCCAAATCGACCTTCTGAAGGTCAGCCGGCTACTGTGGAGATCCATGACCTGAATGAGATGTTACAAGACAACCCCGAGACAGAGGAACTGAAGAACTTCCCCGGGCCACTTGTCAGGTATGTGTTAATATGTGATGCCGAAAGAGGCTTAATGGTAAGAAACAAATTTATAGAGGTTGTATGGTAAAAAACATATTTTAGGTGGAAGGAGGGGTAACTTTTATATGTAATATGTAATGAAGTCCATTATCACTTCATTGCATGCATTGTAGTACAGACAGACAAAAATTAAAAGAGTGTTTGGAAATGCATGTATTTCTTATTAATTTTCCTTCCTTTCTGCTTCTAAATGTAAACTTGTATTATATTCCAGGGGTGATACCCATAAGAATGATGTTCTGACCTACTGCCAGGCTAAAGCCAAGACTTCAGGGGAGAATGTCCAGCTGACTGATCGAGACTCTGCAGAGCTCATCTGGAGGTTCCTAGAGCTGCTCATCAAACAAAACGGGGTCAGTCTAAAATACTGCAGCAAACACAAACTTCTGTGATCCATTTACTCCTTATATAACAGTCATATGTCTAACATGTTTCTCAAAGTAGCAGAAATATTAAAACTAGAAATTGTATACATTTTGATATTATTTTTAATAGAAACAAGATTATAATATTTTTAATTCAACACAATAATATGAGTTATAAATCTGTAGAAGCATATAATTCTTTTATAGACGTTTGTTGGGACAGACATCGCTGACTTGCTATTGGACGGACATGAACCTACCACTGTTGACTATAGCATGATGGGATTGAAGATAAATCCGAGCTCAGATACACTGGACGAGGACTTTGATGACACAGTAGATATGTCCGTCATCACTTCAGATAGATCGGTTATTTCTCGAGGCCGCAAAACCAGAGAGGAGGCGACCGATCGCTTCAGACATCTACTGTTGTATGGCAGAAAGAAGGTAAAAAATCTGATACATGTATGGTATGTAATTCAGAGTCAATAACTCTGAAATTATTGAGCATTCATCATTTATATATAATGAAAATGCTGCTTTTCTTTGTTCAGTATTTGGAAGAATGAACAACATGATTCATTTGTAGGATGCTTTGGAGTGGGCTATGAAGAATAACCTCTGGGGACATGCCTTGTTTTTAGCTAGTAAAATGGACAGCCGTGCGCATGCTAATGTCATGACTAGGTAGGAATTAAAGCTGTTATGATGCTTTTAAAGGTCTATTAAAGTTATTTTTTATGCTAGTCCTTAGTTCCATAGTTAAGGAATTGTAGCTGTGTGAGATAAATGTAAAATTGAAGAGAATATTTTACAATACTTTGCAAGAAATTTAAAATTACATCAGTGATGATATGTCTAGGTATGATTTATCATGGTTCACCTCCTTTAAATATTTTTATTTCATCTATCATCTGTGTTGTCTTGTAGGTTTGCCAACAGTGCCATGAAGATGAACGATCCCCTGCAGACATTGTTCCAGTTAATGTCTTGTCGACAGCCAGCTGCTGTCACTGTATGTATCTAACAACTGAAGAAACATTTTAAACTTCCTTTCAAAGCTTTCAAACATCTATTTAAGTAACACACTGTAAAGAGCTGTGAAATCTAGCAGAATAATAACATTTTAATATTATTTTTTTTTTTTTTTCATTGCTTTTTAGCTCACCTGAGCCAAAGGCTCAAGTGAGCTTTTCTGATCACAATTTGTCCGTTGTCTGTCGTTGTAGTCGTCGTTGTCGTCGTTGTCGTCGTCGTCGTCGTTGTAAACTTTTCACATTTTCATCTTCTTCTCAAGAACCACTGGGCCAATTTTCAACCAAACTTGGTACAGAGTATCCTTGGGTGAAGGGGATTTAAATTTGTTCAGATAAAGGGCCAAGTCCTTTTCCAAGGGGAGATAATCATGAATTTATTAAAAATAAATGGCATTTTTTAAAAATCTTCTTCTCAAGAACCACTGGGCCAGGAAAGATGAAACTCATGTGGAATCATCCTCAGGTAGTGTAGACATTCAAGTTTGTTCAAATCATGACCCCCGGGGCAATTTTTTTTTTTATCAAAATTATTCCTTGTCAACCAATTTTTACATTTCAAATATATAGGAAATATTTTTTAAACATCTTCTTCTCCAGAACCACTGGGCCAGGAAAGATGAAACTATGTTGAATCATCCTCAGGTAGTGTAGATTCAAGTTTGTTCAAATCATGACCCCCGGGGCAAGGATGGGGCCAAAATGGCCGACCCAAGTTTTACATAGGAATATATAGGAAAAATCTTTAAAAATCTTCTCCTCCAGAACCACTAGGCCAGGAAAGATGAAACTCATAAGGAATCATCCTCAGGTAGTGTAGATTCAAGTTTGTTCAAATCATGACCCCCGGGGCAAGGGTGGGGCCAAATTATGGCCGACCATTTTACATAGGAATATATAAAAAATCTTTAAAAATCTTCTCCTTCAGAACCACTAGGCCAGGAAAGATGAAACTCATGTGGAATCATCCTCAGCTAGTGTAGATTCAAGTTTGTTCAAATCATGACCCCCGGGGCAAGGGTGGGGTCAAAATGGCCGACCCAAGTTTTACATAGGAATATATAGGAAAAGTCTTTAAAAATCTTCTCCTCCAGAACCACTAGGCCAGGAAAGATGAAACTCATGTGGAATCATCCTCAGGTAGCGTAGATTCAAGTTTGTTCAAATCATGACCCCCGGGGCAAGGGTGGGGTCAAAATGGCCGACAAAAGTTTTACATAGGAATATATAGGAAAAATCTTTAAAAATCTTCTTTCCTGAACCACTAGGCCAGGAAAGATAAAAAAATTTATGTGGAATCATCCTCAGGTAGCGTAGATTCAAGTTTGTTCAAATCATGACCCCCAGGGCAAGGGTGGGGCCAAAATGAATGATTTCAAAGTTTTGCATAGGAATTTACAGGAAAAATCTTTTAAAATCTTCTTCTCCAGAACCACTAGGCCAGGAAAGATGAAACTCATGTGGAATCATTCAGGTAGCGTAGATTCAAGTTTTCAAATCATGACCCCAGAGGGTAGGGTGGGGCCAAAATGTTTTTTCAAAGTTTTACATAGGAATATATAGAGAAACCTTTTAAAATCTTTTCAAGAACTTCAAATCCATGCTTAGTGATATTTTTATGTGTGTCATCCTCAGGTAGTGTAAATTCATGTTTGTTCAAACCATGACCCCCTATGAGGTTAAAATTCATGTAAGCCCCCTCTCCCCCCCCCCTTTCCCCCCAAACTCAGTAAACTTTCAGTAGGGATCTGATATGTGCTTATTCCTAGCAAATTGCTCAGGTGAGCGATGTGGCCCCTGGGCCTCTTGTTCCAAATTCAAAATATGGCTTTTGAATAAAAATTCGATAAATTTTAATTGGTAATTATTTCTGTTTGTAATATCAGTGTGTGGTGGATGAGAAGTGGGGAGATTGGAGACCACATTTGGCCATGATCCTGTCTAACCCAACTGGACGGGACATAGACAAAAAGTCCATTATGACCCTGGGGGATACATTGGGTATGTTTCAAAACCTGAGAAAATTCATATCCATCAAAACCTGATTTCTAGAAATTTAAGCTATAAAACAAAAAGGAGGTATTGAAAATAATGCATTTTTATGTTCTAAAAAATACAGTAACCTACTAATTCAGTCCTCTCTCTACTTATTCAGTCTTCCTTAAGAGAAAAAGCAGCTCAATTGGTACACTGTATAATTTAAAATCTTACTGAATATTAGCTTGATGTACATGTCTTTACTTGTACATTATGTGCAGTAACAGTTTTATGGTTTCAATTTCAATGAATAACAAATTGGAATTAAATTCTATTTAATATGTGTTTGGTTTTATATTTAAAATTCAGAGTTTATTAGACATTTTTTCCTTTTGTTTTTGTTTTCAGCATCCAAGGGTTTTCTACATGCTAGTCATTTTTGCTACATGATGGCTCAAGTCAACTTTGGTTCTTATCAAAAGAAGACAGCTAAAATGGTGCTAGTAGGATCAAATCACAGGTAATATACAAGAGGAAATTGAACAAAGCTAGAGTTAGAAGTTGATTCTGCATAAAGCAACTCCTTAGTATATGCTAAAATTAACTGCTGTGTTCTGTATACAGCCTTTAAATTTGCTCCTACTTGTAGTTATGTTTTTGTAGGGAACACCAGTTTGTTTTCACCTATTTCAAATATCTCAACCAACAATTTATGTTTGTAAAATGTAGAATATGAGTGAAATACATACGAATAATATAAATGGTACATTTATATTTGCTATGTTTAATGTGTTTTTTATCCCTTGAAATTATGAAATACATGATAATATATAAACTATATTTAATATGTTTTACATGTATATCTTAATATATTTTGCAATGAGGTTGTAGTAACTATACTCATTTATATATGTCCTATTGTGTTTCAGTTTGCCTTTATCAGAATTTTCAACGAATGAGGCCATACAATGTACAGAAATATATGAGTATGCCAATTCACTGGGAAACCCATCATATTATACAGTCAATTTCCAGGTACTGTTTGTGTCTTTTTTACAACATAAAGGTTCTGTATTCTCAACACCCAAAAAGGTTTAAAAATGACTGTGACATGTTTGTTTGCAGAGCTTTAAATTCTTGTATGCGTGTAGATTGGCAGAAAATGGATTTGCTCAAGAGGTAAATGTTTCATGACTATTCTTTCACATATCATTCTATTTTCAGTGAAATATAATTTATCATGTCTCCTTCTCCAGTATATTCTGTTCAAAACAAATAAGATGTATTTTTTGTTATGCAGGCCTTGCAGTATTGTGAAGCAATTTCCCGAGTGATCCTGCATTCACCAACTTTGTTTCAACCTACTCTAGTCAAGCTTGTGTTTGAGGTAAGTTAAAGGAATTGAAGAGGCACCCATAGAAGAAAGTAATTATACAGTATTAAATGCACTTTATTGTGTAAAAAAAAATAAACAATTGATTTGATTTTGAACAGCTGGGAGACCGCCTGAAGTACTTTGATCCTCAGAAGCTTCACTCCACGGAAGATGAAGACCCGTACTGGCTACAGCAGCTGTCAAAAATTAACGCCGGATTTCAGGTATTACTTCATTGTTTAAAAATAAACATAAAAAGTGCTAGATTTAGTGTACATTTATATATATTTTGCTTTCCTTCATTTAAAAAAATATTTTGGGTTTTCCAGGATGGATCTATCCAGCCATTGTCTGGGAGTGTCACACCCTATGGTGGAACTTTTGGAATGCGGGCCGCCAGTACAGAGAGTGGAGAAGTGGCAGGTTATATAGCGGGTGGAGAATCCACCATGATGCCACCACCACAAGTGCCATACGGACAGGAGTCTTACCAGGCCCAGCAGAGCTACCCCACACCCGACCCTAACGTGACTCAGGTACACTGAAATTAAATGGAAGAAATTTTGGAGTTTTCAGAATTTCTAGAAATTTAATAATTGTTCTCTTTAATACTTAGAGAACTGATCTATTTTTAAAATATTTCAGCAACAGACAGATTATTCCCAGGCCCCCAACACATACAATCAATATGGTCAACCTCAGGAAAATCAACAACATGCAGCTGCTGGGTATGGTTCTCAACAAGCTGCAGATTATCAGAATCACCCAGAGGCGTACAACCAGGGAGCAGATCCTAATGCTTATCAAAATACAGGAGTGGATCCAAATTCTCAGTGGCAGCATCAACAACAGTTTCCTCAGAGTGGTAATACAGTTTTACACATTCTTCTATAAAGTATATTTTAAAGAAAAACCAGAAAAATATGATATAATATGCTTTTTCAATAAATTTTGTATAATTTTGTAATTTTGGATAAATTTTAAAGGCTACCAGCAGTATGATCCAAACCAACATCTAGTCAACCAACAGACAAACCAACAGACAAACATGGGGAATGAAAACACACAGAACTACTTTGACCCAAACTCACAAGGTAGGGTTTCCTATTTTGTAAATGTGGATAATGTGTGGACAATGTCTCTCAGTATAGGGTTGTACTGTGGACTTTGGTTAAATCTCTCTGAAAGTGTTTGTGAAAAGTTAGGGAGGAACTGCTGTAAGAATTTCATCAGTATGAATTATTCAGAAGCAAATCTGATGACTTTATTAATTTTCTGTGTGATTTTAGGTCAACACACTGAGTCTCAGTTCAGTCACCACCCTGGCACCACCCAGCACCACAGGAACAGCTTGATCTCCACCAACACGGTCACCACAGAAGACGAGGATGATGATGATGAAGAAGAAGAAGATGACAGTCTGTCAGGGTCCCACAACGTCCCCAGTGGATCATCGTTTGATTACTTCAGTGCTGTGGGGGCCAGCTCACAACAGGTGAGCTACTGAAACTAAAAAAAGATACATTTATACAAAGGCTGATTCTTAAATGATGGCACATCAAGTTTAATAAACTTAAAAAGTATCTTGTGACAAGTAGAAAATAAGTTTGAAGACTAAAATGGGGAATGTAAGAAAAAATACATCTTTTATGTTTGATATATGTGTTTGTATTTCAAATAGGCGTGTACTGGGTCCTTTGATTTTGATTATTTTTAAATTAGATTTAATTTTAAAATACAATGTTTAAAAAAATGATGGAAAATAAAGGACTGATAAGTAAGGATTAACATTTAAAAAAATGAAAACTTGCAGGGATGGACATTAACAGTTGTTTGATTTTCTGTAGTAAATACACATAAATTACAAGTAAATTATCAGTCCTATCAAGTTAATCCGTCCACATAATAATCCCTTGATTGTATTTGTAGATTGTGGCTCCTAAGATGAGACCCAGAACAATATCTGAGACCAGTACTGGCAGTGGTGGTCCCCCGTCTCATGCCACCTCCACCACCAAAAAACCAGACACCATACCGGAGAAAAAGACAGACTTTAAATTGTCTGATGATAAAAAATCTAAGGTAGTAAAGAATAATTCTACAGATGTACATGTACATACACTCATGAACTAAATTAGTGCATAAATTAAACTTGAAGAACCTTCTTAAGGGAAGATTGTTTTCATCATGTACCAGATTAAAGCATTAGCTGCAGCATGTATAATCCTATAATGTAATTTTCTATTCTGGTTTATAATAGGAGGGTTGGAGTTGGTGGCCTTTTAAGGGAAAGAAAGAGAAAAATCCTGATGTCAATGAAATGAAGCTGCCAGATGACAAGAAACCATCGGTATATAAAACTTAAAAATGACACTAAAAATTGATTGTTTTACTGCAGTCACTGATTCATGTATGGATTTTAGATGTATCATTTCCTCTTATTTATCAGAATGAATCTTGAAATGTGAATGTAACTGTTTTTGTAGATTGTGTGGGATGATGTTAAGAAGAAGTGGATCAACACAGAGGAGGGAGAACAGAGTAATGAACCTCCACCCCCACCCCCTAAAGACTTCAGCAGTAAGTAATGAATCTCCACCCCCACCCCCTAAAGACTTCAGCAGTAAGTAATGAACCTCCACCCCCACCCCCTAAAGACTTCAGCAGTAAGTAATGAATCTCCACCCCCACCCCCTAAAGACTTCAGCAGTAAGTAATGAACCTCCACCCCCTCCCCCTAAAGACTTCAGCAGTAAGTAATGAACCTCCATCCCCACCCCCTAAAGACTTCAGTAGTAAGTAATGAACCTCCACCCCCACCCCCTAAAGACTTCAGTAGTAAGTAATGAACCTCCACTCCCACCCCCGAAAGACTTCAGAGTAAGTCACTCAGAGATCAGAGAGTGGTATATAATGTACAGTATTCTAATTTCAAAGAACACTTGTACATTCAAGATTTAAAGACAAGAAAGCTTTTCTCATTTATCATCTGTCTTCTTGGGCTAAGGACTGTTAAATGAGAACAGATTCTAGTCAAAATTTAGATTTATATATCTTTAGTTATCTATATTTGTGTTATTTATAACATCATGTTTTAAAACTTGCTAGTATGTACTTGTATAATATTCAGTTACAAATATGTTATAATGAAAATTTTGCTTTATTTCAAAATTATTTAAAAAATTACACCATTTGAAATTCATTGTTAAAACTTGTTAATTTGGATATAAGAGTCTAAATAAAACAGTTATGACACAAGTTTACAAACATTCTAAAGATTTGATTAAATCTAGAATTTTGAAAGAAGTGCCTCTCAATGTTTTGTAGTGGGATCCTCTATGCAGCCCGCTAGTAATGAAGCCCCACCTGGTGGGGGGCCTCCCATGGGGAATAAATTCTCACTGAGGAAAGGTAAAGGTAAGGAGGACTACTGTAGCTGTATATTATATGAATTCATGCCATTCAATATTGGTTTTGATATTTTGCTTTTCCATCCATATATACTGGTAATGCATTGGAAAACTTTTTCATCAGTTTATGAAAGTCATTAAATACTTATAGCACATTTAAGGTTAATTTTGCTTTGTTTTGATTTGGATTTTTCATTTTTTCCTACAATTATCTGATAGTTTCTTTTATTCTTTTCTCCTTTAAAGTGAACCCTGGTTTGTAATGTAGTTATGTAAATATATATACTGCCTGCTATATTTTTGGTCAAGGTTTTGGGATAATAAGCTTAAAGGACTAGGGTCAATACATTACATATTTATGTACAATGTACTGCTTTAACTAAATATAAAAGCATTTGAACAGAATGTGCAGTTTAAAATGCTTTTTGAATATCAGTCATTTCACTTTGAGGGGAGCTTTGATTATTTAAGGCCATAATAAATATATTCCTAGATTCTCATCCCCGCCTGCCCTGATTTTTTTCCTCCCGCCTCGATTTTTTTTATTTCTGTTTTTCTTCGTATTAATTCTGATCGGGATCGGTATTCAACTACCATTCAACTTTCGTTTTAAATCCCGTGAATGTTGGCATGATTTTGACTGCTGAAAAGATGGTAATTGCTATATTTATATCCCCCCCGCTTGAAAAGTGGGAGGGTATATAGTAATTGGTATTTCCGTCCGTCCATCCGTCTGTCCGTTCGTCCGTCTGTTAAGCTTTATCTCTTATCCGCAACTCCTCTTAAACTACTGAGTGAAATTTAATGAAACTTTCACAGAATCTTTATTACATATTGCCATTGTGCACCTCCTATTTTACTTTTTTATTCGACACATAATTTAAGTTTCCCATAGCAAAACATGGACATTGCCATTATATGTTTACCTATGACGTCACATATAGAAGCTTCTGGATAACATTTGATAGGACGAGTTATTCCTCTTTACATTACCGTAAAACAATATATAGCAACACATGGACATATGGGAGGCGGGGTGTATCATTTAGTGAGCTCATAGCTCACAGTACCTCTAGTATATGTTAAACTAGGGTCATTGGTTCTGAAAGATTGGTGATGATGTGTAGTAAGAGATAAACGGACCTCTACCATCACTTTTATTCGGGTATTATAGATAAATCTGCACCGAATGAACAGGTGATTAAAAATTCTGCAAAATGGAAAAAAATATAAAAATTAAAATAAAAGCCGCCCGCGGCCTCGATTTTTCAAAAATTTTCGGATGAGAATCTAGGAATATTTTTATTATGGCCTAAGTGTTCATAGACATGGATGGTACTAACTCTCTGGGTACTGGTAACTTTGCATGCCAACTTTCACATCTGGGTCTTCAATGTTACCAATTGTGGCATGAATTTATCAAGTTTCATTGAAATTAAGGAATTTTATATCTAATTATTTAATCAATGGTAAATGCATTTTGTTCAAGGTTCTGTGCCAAAGTATGTGGATGTTATGAACAGCAGTAAGTCCTCGGGATCAGCCAACGTTCCCACCAGTCTGTTCAATGTCATGCCATCCTCACAGTCTTCTCCTGCCATATTTAGTCCAGGTAAGGGACAAAACTCTTTCAATTTAACAATGCCAAAAAATTGAATGTTTCTCCGTTTAGTTGATTGTGTCAGAATGGAAAAAATGTGACAGGGATGGAACCTAAGCCTGGTCTGTTCCATTTTTAGGTCACCTGAGTAAACTCAGGTGACCTATTGCTATCCGTTTTCGTCCGTCGCCGTGCGTCGTTCGTCGTGCGTCGTGTGTTAACATTTGAACATTTTCAGCTTCTTCTCTGCAACCACTCAACCAATTTCCACCAAATTTTACACAAAGCATCTATGGGTGAAGAAGAACAAAAATTGTGAATTTCATGGTCCCTGCCCCCCTGGGGCCTGAGGGATGGGGCCAAAATCTTATTCTCTGCTCCTGGGTATTAAATAAACTAACTAAGGACATAGTTATGATGAGAAAGAATGCCTTTTGCAAAATTGTGAATTTCATGGCCCCAGGTTCAGGGGTTCTTAGGTGCTAGGGTGGGGTTATGTAGATTATATAGTGAAAATGCATTATTTCTTTATAAATCTTCTTCTTTGCTCCTGGGTATTAAATAAACTAAGGACATAGTAATGATGAGGAAGAATGCCTTTTGCAAAATTGTGAATTTCATGGCCCCAGGGTCAGGGGTTCTGGTGCTAGGGGCAGGGCACTATTGATTATATAGTGAAAATGCATTAATTCTTTGAAAATCTTCTTCTCCGCTGCAGGGTATTCAACGAATTAACTAAGTATATAGTTATGATGAGCAAGAATGCTTCTTCCAAAATTGTGAATTTTTATGGCCCCAGGGACAGGGGTTCTGATGTTAGGGTGGGGCTCTATTGATTATTAGGGAAAATGCAGAAATTGTTTGAAAATCTTCTTCTCTGCTGCTGGATTTCAACGAATTAACTAAGTATACAGTTATGATGAGCAAGAATGCTTCTTCCAAAATTGTGAATTTTATGAACCCAGGTAGGGTCAGGGGTTCTGGTGATAGGGCGGGGCTCTATTGATTATATAGAGAAAATGCAGAAATTGTTTGAAAATCTTCTCTGCTTCTGAATATTCAACGAATTAACTTAGTATATAGTTATGATGAGCAAGAATGCTTCTTCCAAAATTGTGAATTTTATGGCCACAGGGGCAGGGGTTCTGGTGTTAGGGCGGGGCTCTATTGATTATATAGACAAAATGTAGAAATTGTTTAAAAATCTTCTTCTCTGCTGCTGGGTATTCAACGAATTAACTAAGTACATACATGTAGTTATGATGAAAATGGTTCTTCCAAAATTGTAAATTTTTATGGCCCCAGGGACAGGGGTTCTGGTATTACGTTGGGGCTCTATTGATTATATAGTGAAAATACATTAATTCTTTGAAAATCTTCATCTCTGCTCCTGAGTATTAAATAAACTAACTAAGTACATAGCTTTGATGAGCAAGAGTACCTATTCCACATTTGTGAATGTTTTGGCCCTAGGGTCAAGGGTTCTGGTGTTACAAGGTCTATTGGTTAATTTTTGAGAAAATGCAGAAATTATTTGAAAATCTTCTCTGCTCCTGGGTATTAAGCAGATGAACTACCTAATATATAGCTATGATGAGTAGGGCTGTGTATTGAGCCAAAAATTTCGATACGATACAATACAATATTTTTTAAAGCGATATCCGATATATTGGATTCTAAAACAAGTCCATAAAAAAGGCTTCTAATCATTTTAATGCATGAATTCATAACAGTTAAGTGTTTTATTACCCATTTTTAAGTTCTTGTCTCATTGTCATTAAAATAATGTAAATTAAAACTTTTAATGACAGTAAAATCAATGTGTTCAAATGTTCTCTTTGTATTTTGTGATAATTTTAAAAACTGTTATTTCCTTACAAATTATATAATTATTGTCAGTTTTAATTCAAAAGTGTGAAATATAATTGTGGTGGTTAAAATTCATCTTTTTAACAGAATTATTTAAAAACTGTCTGTCTGATATGTATTGGAAGTTATTTTTCAATACGATATTTTTCTTGAATATCAATATGTATCGATATATCGATATATTGATACAGTCCTAATGATGAGCAAGGGTCATTCTTCCTGAATTGTGAATTTTAACGCCCCTGGGTCAGGGGTACCATAGGGGGGGGGGTGGCTCTACTTATATACTGAAAATGAATTAAGTGATTGAAATCTTCTCCTTTGTATTATTCAAATATTTTTGATAAGCAAGGGTGCCTTTTCCAAAATTGTGAAATGTGTGGATTATGTTCATGTGTGGTAGTGGCACTATACTTTATTGCTGAATATTACTGATTAGTAAATGGTTTTTTTTGTTCAATAGTCTATGGGTATTAAGTAACCAAACTAAACAGGCTAAGTGTATAGTAAAGACTAGCAATGGTACCTCTTTCAAAATTGTGAATGCAATGACGTCTAGTTTAAAAAATGAACCAAATTCAATCGTTATAAAGTTGTTGCATGATGCTCAGGTGACCTATAAGGCCCATGGGCCTCTTGTCTTCTTTCCTTCTCATTTAGTATTATGCCCTAGAAGTGACAGGTGAATATCCTGCCAGAAAGGAGTTTTATTTGTTAAACAATTTTTTTTTTTACTGAAACACATATCCCATAAAACATTGGTCAAAATTTCAGGGAACTGGGATTCAAATTTAATCCCTTCATCACCTGTTAGAATTTGATGGTTAAATATTTCCTGGTTTCTGATTATAAAGTATCTTTGTATTGCTTTGTAGGTGGAGAATCAGACAGTCCTTCCACACAACAAGAGAACACATCCACTGGATGTGTGTAAGCTTCACATGTGGAGATATATTCCAGCAGGGGAGGTAAGAACTGGGTCCTCTCTGATTAATGTTATGTGATGCATGAGACGAAAGGTCTGTGCTCAGATAAATACATGTATGTTTGTCATGCTGCTAGTTTAGATGTTTGCCATTTTTTGGTTGTTTTAGCTTTCTAGAAACAGCTCACAGAGCTCATTTTCTAGTGAAGTTCAACACTTCCTGTCTCAGGTAACACTAACCTGTGTTTGCTAATGTGCTTGATTTGACTGAAATTGGTTTACATATTCCTCACTCTTCTTTTACTAATATTTTTAGTGTTAACTTTATTATTCACTTTTTAAAAAAAAATTATATACATATAACTGCCTTCTAGAATTTTAAATTAATTTTCATCATGATCAGTATTAGTACAGTATATTTGTCTTAATTTAAAATTTTAATATTCCACTTTTTTTTTTTTACTTCGTTTAGATTGATTTGGATTTTCAGAAAATCAGATTTTTATTATAAACAGTTTTGATAGATAACGAAAGATTTAAAAATTGTTTTGAATAAATTGTGTAGAATTTCTTAATTAAATGTAGCCTTAAGTCAGGTGTTGATGTCTGAATCAGTTTTTGAAGTGTGTGTGTAGATATCTGGAGTGTGTGGCTTTGCTTTACTTTATTGGTTTTTAACAAAATAGGAAAAAGTGTGCAATTATTAATAATAGATACCACAAACTTTTATTTAAAAAATTGTGAAATTAACAATTAAATCTATGTTTAAACAAGTAAAATGAAAAAGATTTCATTTTTTCATTTTTTTTAAATGTTCAATAACAAAAAATATTCTTCCACTCCCAGGGACCTACAGAAAACACCCAGCAGCCATCTGGTATGCCAGTCATGTTTAACCCTGCCCAGTTCCAGGGAGGTCAAGGTGAGGGATTCCAGTCTGGCCCCGCCTCCACAAGGTCATCAGGTCGTCTTAAGCCAGGACAGAGGCGGATGTATCCAAAGTGAGGCTTGGTATGGGAGAGGATTGGCACACAGTGTTTATTACTACAAAAATGGCATCTGTTCTTAAGATTTTGAACTGGCCAGAGAGAGGATTTTTGCTTTAGGGTGATTTATCAAAGTGTGAAATAAAGTGTGCTTGTAGCAAGTGTAAAGTTTGTGTACAAGGTAAATTAAAATTTTTGGAATCATTTTCAACATTTGTGTGGGTAACAGGTCAGGGTTTTATGTTCTCAACTGATATTGCGATCTCTACACACTGTATGAGCAATAGAAATGATACATTTAAAAAAGTCAAAATAATTTAACAACGGAAATAACATCTTTCTCCAAGAAAATGTCCATCTTAATATACAGTATATAATTTAGTCCACAGTCCATAATCAATGTTTTCTGTGTTCTGTTATTTTGTTTCTTAATCTTGCCTCAATATATCTCCCGTCTGTCCTGTTTGGTCATCATACTTGTGTGTTCTGTTGTCATGGTAAAGGTTTATTTAACCAAATGCTGTACATGAAAGCATTTATCAGGTCTACTTTAGCGATGACTTTCCTTCATTGTAGAATAGCTGTAAATTTTCATCTTATCATCTGACATTCTCTGATTATATTCTCTCATGAACCATTTTGTTGATGAAATTCCCCCCTTCTTCCATTTCTTAAGGGACAAAGGTCTCATCTAATTAGAAGTTTATTATGTTGGTTATGGATGTCACTTTCCATTCTGATAGTACATGTAAGTAAATTGTGTGAACAATATTTGTAATGGTAAATCAACATTGTTTTGGTCCGCTAATTGTAGGACTCTGTATTATTGATGATGTGTTCTAAATAAACAAAATAACATAACAATGGGCATAAGTAAAACATTACAGTTGTTAAAGTCAGCACCTCTATAGTTAGGTTCATTAGACTTGGGATTGGAGGTGTGTTGCGGTTAGAATAGTTTTTTTTGTTGAGTTTTTGTTTTATTTTTGACAAAATTTGTAGTGGATTGAGAGGTGTACAGTGTATGTGGAACAAAGTGCTGGCCACACTTGTGATAAGAAACCTTTGTAATGTGATTTACTGAGATAATTATTTATTATGAATAACAAAATATTGATATGTGTGTAATTTGTACATAGATATATTTACATGTGTATATGTCCGTCTCTAATGGCTTAATGTCACGGGAATGAATTTTACCTGGACTACAATGCAATTGCTCTGCATTGGGCATATTTTAATTAATGTACTTTTTATGTTGCATTTTACCGATGTTTGATTTCAGAGGTTAATATGCGGAGTCTATTATCATGAACATGTTGTAAACATTTTCACATTTATTTTAAGTAATATAATCTTTCAGCATGTAGATATTCTGATACTCAAGACTGCAATCTGTTACTTCTATTTATCTTGGATATATTCGTAAATGACGAAAAATATATACATTGGATATATTCTTGAATTAAGTAAAATTAAGAAGATATTAATTCTTTTCAGATGGAAATTTTCTTTCTACTGTTACATGTAGTGTCCCTCTGATTTCTGTATATTACCCCATATTAGAGCATTCCGTCTATAAAATTATCATATAAAAATATTGAAATGCTATTGTATTTATTTTCTGCAGATTTAATTTTATTTTATTGCAAATGATTGTAAGTTTCACTTAGATCATAAGTTATTTGTGAATTGGATTCATCACATAAAGAACTGTGAAATATTTTGTGTTTGCTTCTTTTTTCCAGCTAAAAGAGTTACGTCCCTTAGGTTACAGTTTCGAGTACATAAATACACACACAATGAATGTACATCATATGGCATTTGTAATGCCCATCTTCCATCCTTCTGTCCTTTTGTCACACTTTGCATTTAGCCCAGTTTTAAGGAAACTATTCAAGATATTTTGAAATTCATCAAACTTTAAATATTTATCTGAGTTATTCAAATGCATCAACATTTTCTGACATTGATCTACCTTTTACTAACAGTAGTCAGGTCGACTTCAAAGAAATTGTTCAAGATATTTTATCAAACCTTTTATTCTGATACATAGGAATGAGAACTTTTCAGCTTCATTAACAATTTTAGCCCTTCTGAGCCAAAGGCTCAATTAAAGTGCTAATGCTATGGATATTTGTATGGTGTGTGTTAACTTTTTAAAATATGGGCCATATCTGGAGAATCCCTAGGCCAATTTTTGTCAAGTTTGTCAGTATTCTTGGCCCAAGGGTTCTTGTTTAAACGAAAAGTAGGGATGTGACCCTTAAAATAGGGGAGATAATTAGAAAATGAAAACAAAAGATCTGGATGCTAAAATTTTCCCAAGAACCACTTGGCAGAATTATTACCAAACTTATGCACAAGGGTTAGGATATGTTGCAGATTAAAAATTGCTCAAGGTATCACCCTGGAGCAAAGGGCATGGTCTCAAGGTCACTTCAGAGTTGACAAAAATTGTGTTTTAAGACTTCAATATTTTGCTTATTATAAAGACTAGGATCATCAAATCTTGTCAGCTGATAAATTTTTGGACCTTATATCATATTGACTCAAAAGTAGGTCACAGCCATCTTCTATTTAAAGTTTCATTTCAGATTGATTTAAAGGAATTTTTTGTACACTTCAAGACATATGATCACCAAAGTTTGTCAGTTGATGAATCTTGGATGTTCAAAGTACATCAACTGAAAAGTAGGTCACTGTGACCTACATTTGAAATTTTATGGCTATATTGAATAGTATTTTTGCCCACACTATCAAAATTATGCAAAATCACAATTTTTATTCAATTGGAGGGGAGTTAAACTTTTCAGGAGATGTTTATAATGCAACTTTTAAAAATTGTGTGAGGAGCCCTCTTAAGTATTTGTGCTACCTGTTCAGTGCACTCGAAGCGAAAAGTTTTTGGTTCGAGCCTACATGGAAATTTTATATTTTGTCAGTTTCTGTACCGATAAAATTATTATAAATGTTGGTGGTTCTCGAGCGAAATCAATAATAATTTTATAATGTATTTGTAAAAATATCTAAGGTTTATTTTTGTGAAAAATTACTACTTCTATTAATATTGTTTCGTAAAGCTCAGGTACTATTTAGAATCATCAAATTGATGCTCTTGTCAATTGATGCATAATGACCTCCTTTTGACATTTTATGGCTATATTTAAACGTCTCAGGTACTAATTGGCTTAGAATCATTAAATTTTGTCAATTGATGCATCTCAGATCCTCAGAGAACATCAACTGAAAAAGTAGGTCATCATGACATACTTCTTAAATTTTATTGATATGTTTAAATATGTAATGTCTTTTTTTGGATAAGAGAATCATCTAACTTTGTCAATTGATGCATCTTTGGTCTTCCAAGAATTTCAACCAAAAAGGTCACTGTGACCCACTTTTGAAATTTCATGGCTATATATAAATGATTTTAGATACTAATTGGCTTTAGATAATCAAACTTTGTCATATGAAGTATTTTGAGTCCTGAGAATGTGTCAAATAAAAAGTCAGTCATGGAGACGTACTTTTGGAATTTTAAGGCAATATATAAATGTTTCAAATAATAAGAAACTTAAAATCATCAAACTTTCTCAGTTTAGGCATTCTGGGGTGTGGCAGTACATGTATGTTTATCTAGAGTAGGTCAGTGTGACCTACTTTGGAATCTCCTGGCTATATCTGAATATTTGGTTTTAAATATCATTAGCAACTTTGAATTAACTTTATCAGTTAATTTATCTAGGTTTGTCAGAGTGTTTTAACCAAAATGTTGGTCATGATGACCTACTTTTGTCAATTCAAGGTTTTGGCTAAATATACAGGAGATGTAGATTACAAAGAAAGTTTGCAAGATTTTTTTAAAAATTATATATTACAATATATACCATTTACATACTGATGAAAACTATTCAATGACATCAAGATTTTGACCTTGACCTTTTCTTTGACCTTGAATTAAATTTATGTTTAATATAGTTGCATTACTAATGAAAGCCGGACGAGACTCATGTTTTAAGGACATGTTTCTATTTTATTTTGTTACTTTCTTCGAGTTTACTTTATGTGCCTGATCAATATCTTGAAAGTGCAAGTTTTAAAAGTTCACGTTTGATTCTTCTATTTGGTATATATAACTGGATGTATGCAGGATATACTTCTTTAACTTTTCCATTCACACTCTTAGCTTGCAATGTCTTTCAGCCAGTGAGTGGGAATCTGACTCCCGGACTCCCGTCAGTTAAAAAAGGGAGACAACCTTAAAAACCTTAAATTTGAAAACTATTTAATTGGGAGGGGCTTTCTCTGACGGTTTGGTAGAAAATCTACATATGAAAACTACTATAAAAGACTATGCTCATATAAAATCCCCCCTCCCTCCTGCTTCCCTGAACTCTAAATGATGAAGAAACAATGACTTACTCTTTGTCTTTCAATATCTAGGGTAAATAAATTAGATATATCACCCTTCCTGACATAGACTTAAACCACCAAAGTTTCTCCAATCTGTTTAGTTACATCCATGATTTTATTTTCAGTCTCATAATTCCTATACCGATATAGATAGGTCTTAAAGCTGTTTAGACAGCCTTTGATACTGCATTACGGAGATATAGAGACAAATGAAAAAAAAAATTAAAGAAAATATAATAAAACTTCAATGTTTCGAAGTTGGATATTTCTGTGAAAATAATATTGGGATTTTCTGGTCGATGCCATGCAAAATTCAAACGGGGGCTATGTACAATGAATTTATATCTGTTCATACATGTATATATAATGTGTCTTGTATGCATTGTTCCAAATCACAAATGTCCCATAATTCAATACCACGCTCTATTTACGGTGGGGATTTTGTAATTGGTTGGATGAAACCCCAATAGTTTTTATTTGTACAAAAAATATTGTTTGAAGCCGGATGGGGTCCTCTTCAATGAATGTCTTGCTGACAGCTATTAAGGGAGTGTTGAAGCTACCAGATAAACAAAAAAGGCCACTCAACTGCTGTGATGAATGATAAAAACAGATTTAAACCCTAAATAATTTGCATAGAGCAAACTTCTTGCATGATTACATCCACTAGAAGACAATCAAATCTTGTAGCAGATATTTTTTAATTGAAACATGAGCCTTTCAAGAACAATGTCCGTGTACGCTTGGTTGGAGAAGGCGCGATAGCTCCAGAGTCGTAAAGGTTTATGTGTTGCTGAATTATCAAGCAGATAACCTGAATGATTACATCAAATTGGTTATTTGGTCCAGAATCCAGATTAACAATAAGATTATGCCATTTGATCGTCATAGAACAATTAAGACAATAGTTATGGAGACAATTTTATTGATATACCACAGTAAATAATCTTGTGTACTAATATCACACAGGCGCATAAACTATGAATACCCTTTTACATGTTTACAAGCATCTTGTATTATTTACTTGTAACTCGGTTAAGTGAATGGATTAAAATATTGAGGAAAGATTTTTTGTGAATTTTGTTAAAGATGACTTGAATTGACGAAGTGTGAAAAGTGAAAGAGTTGGTGACGATGTTTATGGGACGGTTAATTAACGTTAGAAAACAGGAGGATAACCACAGAAAATTTCTTTGTGTGATGAACGATGTGGCAAGAAACCAACACGACTTCTACAACGCCTACATCAAGAAAGAGCTGCAATACAACATATCACGGCAGGAACGATCCAGTGTCGCCGTCAGAAAGGCGGTAACGCAGAAAAAGATTCTCCAAAAATGTCTGGAGCTGAAGCGGGAAGATACGGCGGCGTCAAAAGATAGAAATCTGTATGGGCATTATGGAGGAAGGTCCATCCAATCCCTCAACAAAGACATGGATTCATTTCTCGCCGAGAGACACCCCAAAGTACGCAAGAAAAAGCACATAGACAGCGTCATGAAGCATAGCAAAGAGAAAGGCATGATTCTTGGTACGGATAAAATGTCGGAAAAGGTGCGTGATTATTTTGTAGAAAAGTGGGGTGTACAGTACCCAACGCAACAAGAACCGGAGAAAAAGGAGTCTGTATTTGCTGCCAAAAAACGGGAAGAACAGAGGCAGGACGAACCAGAGATTTCCTTATCGGCGCTATTCAAGCCGTCTTTTTTCCCGCCAAGAAACGCTTTCCGTAAGAGTGACGACTTTGACGCCAGGGATGGCGATTTCACCAGTCGCTCGGATCCGACAGGTCACGTCACGGCAGAGAAGCCGATGTACGCGATCCCGGGGGAAGATAAACACTGGAATTGTAAGCGGTGTTATCACGTAGACAAAGTCGTGCGAACACGCAGCAGACGAGCAGTCAGTGAACATGAACCAGATCCTCACACCAACAGACTTGTTCTGCCGCATATACCGAGAGTGACGTCACTGGTTCACACGGATCGCTAGGATCCCCAACTCCCGTGAACGCTCTAGTGCCAGTACATGTACATCTAAACAAGGATCACAATTGTTATAGAGAATGAACCATTTTAGATATTTGAAATGGTCAAACATGGAAATATAATCACATAATGGATAACGGTTGAATTTAAAAAAAAAAATCATTTTACCCAATGTATCTGATACCATAAATTTGTAATGTTTCATAAAAAGTGAACATTGAGAAAAATGTATAGTTCTTCATTTGAAATAGAATTGATGTGTCTATCCACTACTGCATGGCTTGGTTATGAAGGTACATTTGTCTGCTTTTTATATTCCCAAGACTGTACTGAGAGTATACATGATGATTTACCAATTCAATGGATGCAATGAAACTTTGAACATACTGGAAAAAATGAACCAAAATATAAAGACAAAGCAAGAAAATTGATGAACATTTTTATTGTACTTTCTTTCACAAAATGTGTAAACAGATCATTAGAGACAATCTTATTATAACAGTTACATTAAAGAAGTATTGCACAACTCCAGTCTATAACAATGTATCATTGCCTTTGTCTGAGAGACACCAGGGCCATCAAACTGTCTGTCCTCTCTACATCTCTCTAGGCAGGGTCCTATAGCACTCTTTTAATGCTGCAGAAATCAACTGTAGTTTTCTGACAGACATTTTTCTTGATTTTAAGTCACCAATCCGATTCAGCAAGTACATGACCTACACAAAGATATGTCAGACAAAGTGTTATTGGTCTACATTTCTGATTCTTACGTACAAATTAATATCAAGTCCTTGATATAAATGCATTAATAGGGATTTATTTCAGAGTTTGAACTTGTGTCCAGTTTACAAATTTGAATAATGAATATAGCTTTTAACAAGAGACAAGCTGTCTTTGAAAATTGATATTTTTTACAGATGAGTTAAATACGGATAATACTATCTAATCTATTCCACAGAGAGTGAATAAGCTACTGACCGTTTCAGGAATTGGACTGTTTCTGTCGCTTCCAGTACCGCTTGACGTCATCATGGCCGCTCTTTGTCACAACCATCACTCTCTTTATTGCATTGTCCCAGAGTAGAACTCCTAAATCCTGTAAAAGACACAACTCTGTATGTGATCTACAATCTAATTATATTCTATCACTTCTGATCCCTTTCTCCCAAAATGATACTGTATATTTACCCACAGTCATCAACAAAGGCTTACAATATGTTGAAGCTATATCAAAAATGTTCTTTACTCGTATTTCACAGTTAAACTATGTATACATTATGTCTAAATATAGAGGTAAATTATGATTTTATTTGATCAATTTGACAAATCAGTGTAATGTAGCTTATTACTTTGGCATAGTCTCTCAGCAGCTCAAAATCACTCTGTGACAGGAACTGGTCATACAGAACTCCTTCAGAGAATTTAAACCGGTCACGCTCTAATTCCCACAGTCTTATCTGGTCCGTAATGGTTGAAGGAATAACTGGTGTCTAAAATAAAATGTAATACATTTATCTTTTTTTTTCATTTTACAGTATTTTAAAATTCAGCTCTTGACCAATTTTAAGGATATTTACTAATATTTACATCCACTGAATATTTTCTCCTTTATTTCTTAAGAAAACCCATTGCGTTAATCACTGCATGAACTACCGTAGGCATGTTGCCTGTAATATATCAAAGTGATCAGTTGCTGTTCCATCAATGATATAAACGTTTCATTAATACAATAATTAATCTTTTTAATTACTTTAAATGATTATTTAAACAGATATAAATATAAACAATAAAATGTCTTTCTTTGTTTGTTATTACTTTATTATAACCGAAAAAATTTACATAACCCGCTTACGCGAGTTATGTATTTTAAAAGTCAGCTACTGATTCCAGTAATAACAAACAAAGAAAGCATTTTATAGTTTAAATAATTTTCACAAGTTTCCGAAACATTGAAAACCACATTTCATTTGATGCTAGAAGGTGACTAAAAGAAGTATCGGTATGTAATGAGTTAACAAGGCTACATATGACAGGTTGTAAAATAGCTCAATATTTCATTTACTCATTTTTTTAAGCTTAATTTTTTACATATATATACTTACATTCTTCAGCATTTTAGGATGAGCATGGGTTTTCAAAAAGGATATGATCTAAAAAGAACAAAAACAACTTTTATTTTCCAACACTTTTCAAAAGTTTTACTGAACTATTAATTTTGATGTTACACTGTATCTAAATTTGTATTTAACAAACTACACCTGTGATATTTTTATTAAATGATTTTGTGACTTTCCTGTGACTCACCTGGTCAGCTGTGATTCCTCGGGTTAAAGCATCTCTCACACTGCCACGTGTCAAATTCCCCACACAAAACGTTGGAAACCTAAGAAAATTTACACATATATATTATTCAACAAAATTGAGGTGTTTATTCATGATACCATGAAATTACCATTGTATTATTTAGATAATAGCTCTTTACAATATGAAGGGCTTACCTAAACTTTTAATGGCAATAAACATTTATACAGTTTGTTCCACCTCTTTACATGTCCAGGATATAATATACCAGTTAAACACCTGTTCCTTTTTATCTTACCTGTATAACATCTCACAAAATAATGCTACCAGAGCCACAAGTAAAGGAGAATCTATAAAGGAGAAAAAGAAATACTCATAAAACCAGAAGTCTCTGTCGAGACTGTAGCTCTACTGGTTTGTACTTATCAAAAAACCATTTTATGTATCTTTGTGTAGTCTACTTGTGTGCCAACTTATTTTGAAATCAGACAAAAACTGTAGAAGGAGTAGCGTTTTAAAAGAATTTCACAGAAAATTCTATTTTTAGTAACCATGGCAACACCGTTCATCGAAATCAAAAACAGATGCACTATTCTATGTATCTTAGTGTAGTCTACTTGTGTACCAAGTTATACTGAAATCAGACAAAAACTGTAGAAGGAGTAGCGTTTTTAAGGAATTTTACAGAAAATTCTATTTTTAGTAACCATAGCAACACCGTTTATCGAAATCAAAAACCGATGCACTTTTCTATGTATCTTAGTGTAGTCTACTTGTGTGCCAAGTTATATTGAATTCAGACAAAAACTGTAGAATTCTTATCTCCTTTTTCTTTTACAGAGTAGCGTTTTTAAGGAATTTCACAGAAAATTCTATTTTTACTAACCATGGCAACACCGTTCATCGAAATCAAAAACCAATGCACTATTCTATGTATCTTAGTGTAGTCTACTTGTGTGCCAAGTTATATTGAAATCAGACCAAAACTGTAGAAGGAGTAGCGTTTTAAAGGAATTTCACAGAAAATTCTATTTTTAGTAACCATGGCAACACCGTTCATCGAAATCAAAAACCGATGCACTATACTATGTATCTAAGTGTAGTCTACTTGTGTGCCAAGTTATACTCTCTCAAATCAGACAAAAACTGTAGAAGGAGTAGCATTTTTAAGGAATTTTACAGAAAATTCTATTTTTAGTAACCATGGCAACACCGTTCATCGAAATCAAAAACCGATGCACTATTCTATGTATCTTAGTGTAGTCTACTTGTGTGCCAAGTTATACTGAAATCAAACTAAAATTGTAGGAGGAGTAGCGTTTTGAAAAATTGTTTACAGACGGACAGACAGACAGACGGACGGACGCCGGACGCATTACTATCGCATAAGCTCTTCTGGTCTCTGACCAGTAGAGCTAAAAATATGGAACAGCTCTTTCAATATCTTTTGTTTTGTGCTCATCACATCTGTGTATCATTTTTATGAGTAATGTAGTTACTTATATATTTAAAAAGATTCAACCATCTTGAAATGAGTACTAAAAAATTCTTCCTTTGTTCAGTACCACTGAAAAGTCTAGTGTAGCTCATTACGCAGATAGATTGATACATATATCTGTTTTAAATTGATCTTCTGGTAAGATTGAATGAAGAATTCTTATCTCCTTTTTCTTTTACAGTCAAAAACACAGCCTTCTGTTTAATAGTTGATATCACTTTTGACCATTAATATGACCACCTGTCAATAAATACCTGTATAAGCATACACTCTGTAGTTAGTTTCCACCATCAGATAACCCGTATTCTTTCCCAGTGTGAAATCTGACAAACCAGAGGAAAGATTGATGGCTAGCCTGGTGGGGTAGTACCTCTGGATTTTCCTCTGTAACAAAGCAACTGTGTATTTATGAACATTGTTTTAACCATGTTTTAACTCAGATATTGAATACAAGTAATAAAGGAAACAGATTAGAAACTTTGACTACAGAAAATAAGTAGTGAAATGATATGTTTGTTATTAGAGGTAAAGTACAACCCATATAAACAGATAGAGGGTCAACATTTTATTGACTGCAAATAATTTTATCACTGGACTCATCAAATAAATTGTAATACATGTATTATTACTATTATTATGTACCATAACTTCCCTAGTTACCTTTCTTTGATAAACAAGTCCAAACTCTCTCAAATGTTGTAAAAATCTTTGTTGTCCATCATTCATAAATTCTGTTGAATAATCCTGAAGAACAGTTTTTTTAAGATTTTAATGGAGAAACCATCAATTGAAATAAAATTACAAATTAGATTCCTGCAATATCACAAATAATGCTTACTTTTCCTAATGTTGAAAAACTAAGTTGAAATAAGAAGGATAAACAGTCTATAAGGTCCATACCACGACTCTGTCAAAAGAATATATATCAGGAAAGTGGAACAAATTTTTTCACCAAACTTGATTATTATAACTTTAAAAATAGAATTTTCATGTACTTTCTGCAAAAGCATGCAGTCAGGAAAATAATGAATTCTGGTATTTTTTCCATTTCCAAGCCTTGTCAAAATTTCTAAAGATTCAAAATACCCCAGTAACACCTTATTTACTAAATGTAACAGTTGCAAGTTTGAGGTTAAAAAAAAAAGATACCTCAACAGTGTCCAAGTACTGCAGCATGAAATACCAGACTTGTGACCCTGTATCCATCAACAGAAACTGAAAACCAGCTGGAGTAATGGACGGCAGAGGGTCCACACCATCCCTGTCATTAATAAATTTTTAATTGATTCCTTTTTGATATTAACAACTAAGAAATGTTTAAAATGGATTATAACATTTCATTTTTTCTTCTTTTTGATGGTAGGAAGATTTTCATACGACACAAAATAATAACACATAGTAATGACTTTAAATGACAAACAATAGTGAATAGAATTTTACGTGGTCATGAGTCCAGCATGAAGGAGAACATCAATGATATCTCTACTGACTCCCTCAGTACCCTCAGTAGACCCCACCATAAAATGGAGAACACACTGCAAACACAAAGGAAATGTAAACACTCTGATGGTAAAAAGTGTCAAAAAAGACCCAAAGAATCCTTCTAGTTTGTCTAAATTTTGTCTCATTTTTGAATTCAGAAAGTTATTTAAAGATATTTTGATGAAAAAAAAGAAGAAGATGTTGTTCAGTTAAATACCTCCCATCGTTCCAGAGCATATTTATCTAAAAATGGAATGTCCTTGGCGTGTTTGTCTGGGGGTAGAGGTCCTCCAGAAATCTTGGAATCCAGTCCTCTGTAAGATACATAAAGTTCACTTTGTCAACAACCCATAAGAGTTTAGAGAAAATACTACCTAAGTGAATAATTAAGACAATTAAATCAATAATGAATAACTTGTGATCTGTTTAAACATTGTAAGCCTTACCCTCCAAGCAGAGCTACTTTCATATTGGAGCGAAATGTTTCATTCAGAATCCAGCCCAGCAGACCCCCTTGCATTTGTTGTTCATGCCACACTCTCAGATCAGATAAAACTTTGGAAGCATATTTGTGTTCCCTAAAAAGTAGAAATTTAGTCTCTTAATTTTATTCATTTTCATAATTAACTTGGTAGGGACTATATAATACATAGATGAAGTGTGCAATAAAAACAGCTTCTTTTTCAAATCGGCTGGTACATTTGTTTGTATAACATTGCTGTGATTATAAACAGTACCAGGCAACATATCAAGAGAAACAAACAATATCATTTTTTTCTGTAAAAATGAAAAATTCAGAAACTAATATTAAAAAATCGGTACTGAATAAAAATATAAAAGAACGTGATAGCACAATAACACATTTCTATAGTGATAGTAGAATGATGTATTTGAAGCAGATGTTGCTTGAATTTTCAGCAATGGAGATTAAAAGAAATATATCAGTGCAACCAAACAAAATCAACAAATCAATTTAGGCTCGATTTATACCTGTTAAAGGTAAGAAATGAAAATTTTATAGTGATTAGGAATTAAAAGGATGTCCACAGTGAAAAGTTGAAGAAGACAGGAACTTCATTTCAACTTACTTTGATTGTATTAAGCTGCCAAAGTTTGGGTAAGATTTACCAAATCACTGTGTGTGACACTGGTCTGATATTTGAAGAGACAATCCAAAATATTTTGTCTCGACACATCTCACTGATAATTATTCAGTCTAAATTGCTGAGATTCAGATATGGCGAAAATGTTTTCCCAAGGAACATTGTGCAGGTCCAGCACAATACCCCGATAAAGGTATATAGCATGATAAAGCTATATAGCTTTATCAAGGTATTTAAAATACCATTATCAAGGTATTTTATGTAATGAAAATAAAAAAAAATCTTAAAAAATTAATTATTGAAAGTCGAGTTCTGAGTTGTTGTCAGTAACTTCACCCATGCATGTAAAGTACTCAAATACAATGAAATCAGTAGAAAAACATGTCGTATGAGGAGACGTAATTTTTTGCTTTTTTTTTGATACCAGAGTGTTTTTCATGCACGAGTAGACACACTGACAAAAACTCAGAACTCGACTTTCAGTATTTGATTTTTAAAGAATTTTTTTTGAATTTTCATTACATAAAATACCTTGATCAAGGTATTTTAAATGCCTTGATAAAGCTACCGTAATTTACGGAATATAGGTCCATACTTTTTTCTCAGAACCGCTGGGGTCGACCAATATTCAGAATTCGACCTATTTAAGGCTCAAGTTTACGAAAAATGCCCCCAAATCAGTAAAATTTACGTCAATTTCAAAGCAAATCTATGCCCCTTTCGTAACTTTTTTGATTATTTTTCGCAAAAAAAAAATAATGCCCCGGTAAACAATAACATATTTATTCTAAAACTTTCTTACAAAATAAATTCCATTAATTATCCGTTGATGAGAAAGGAAAAACAACATTGCTTCACCTATTAAATAATTCCTCAATGTATTATCCATTAACATCATGCGGTATCCATCTTGTGAAGCTAGGAAGTTGCGATTGTGTACTAAAAGTAAAACCGCAACCGTATCAAAATTTAAAATACAGAAAATTTTCACGATTACAACTATAGTGTTTTTACCATTTATTAGTAGCGATAAATTGAAATAGTATATTAAATATTTTTTATTGTCTTAATTTATGTTTATTTAAATGCAAAATGAGTGAAATAATTTGTTGCCATTATTAAAAGCTTCGTACACAAGAAGTACATTGAACTACCGGTATACAAACATTGGCTTCTAACAAAATTTTAATTGTCTGACAGATAAAGGGATTTACACTGTGTACGCAAAGGTGTTAAACAACACCTGTGTTATTTAATTAATTGTCTGCGTGGCATGATTAAGAAACCCACATGCCATTATAGGGGTATTAGTGTTACACTTCATTGAACAAACAAAGCCGTGAAATTCATGTTGACAGTCAAATTGTGAATGTACTCTCAATTAAATTTATAAATTAAACTTATAGAGTGTTAATATGATTTCAATTCTTTACTGTTGCTTGATATATACATTCAATGGTCATTTGCGTCATTTAGCCAATCCGTGGAGTAGAAAAATAACAATGGCAGACATCGAAGTAATTGTCGTCCACCGGTAAATACTGTCTGAATAAAATTTATTAGAAATGTGTCCAAGTTATTCTGAAATCGGAATTGCTATTCATTGGTCTCGGGTATTTCCCGAATTATAGATGTAAAAAAATAACGTATTTACGTGTTATTTATGCCTCTGATTTAACAACAGTGTGAAACTACGGAGGCATTGATTGATTGAACACGCAAGTTGGAGAAAAATAAGTAGTAACACAATTCAAAGAAGTTTTAACTACATTTTTAAAAAAACTTAATTTAAATGCTGTACTCATTAAAATACCTGTTTATTTTCTTGCTACGTTCATGTCACGGAATAACCCCGGTAATTTTAGGGTTTTACCTGTTCTGATACGTTGTATCTGCGTAAGAATCTTTAGAAAACGGGAAAGAAAGCCTCGTCCTATATAGTAAGTTCGCCCTATCTTAGGATTTTTTAAAAAATTAAGGCTGAAAATGAGCCTTTCGACCTATATACCCCATCGACCTATAATCCCAAAATTACGGCTATATAGCTTTATCAAGCTACAGTACCGACCGGACACAACCTAACAGAAAGCGAACCCGGAGCGGACCCCGGATTCGCTCTCTGGGTCCGCTCCGGGTTCGCTCGGGGTCCGCTAGGGCTGACCCCGAGCGAACCCGGAGCGGACCCAAAGCGAACCCGTAGCGGACCCCGACGAACCCGAGCGGACCCAGAGAGCGAACCCCAAATT